TTGGATGTAAGCCGCCCCGGCCCCGACCCCTTACCCCTCCTACCCGTTTTGGCCACGCCCCTTTGGCCGTGATAGGTATCATACCTACGTGCTGTTCCAGCGGATCGCCGACTAACAGAGACACTCCCAGACCTTTGCTATTTTTTGGACTTTCGCCGGTCTCCTAGCCATCCTCATCACCGTCCTAGCCGTTGCTAAGGAAGGTAGGCGCTCTGCTGATTTCGCTCTTGGTGGCTTCGAGGTCACCTCCGGATGGCCCGCGGGCTGGTCTTTCTGTGTCGGCCTGCTCCACGCTGCCTACGCCACCTCGTCGACAGGCATGGTCATCTCCATGTGCGAAGAGGTTCAGCACCCGGCCACCCAAGTACCCAAGGCCATGGTAATCACCATCGTCATCAACACCATCGGCGGGCTGCTATTCCTCGTGCCTCTCATGTTTGTGCTACCTGACCTTGCCATGCTCGTCGCCCTCCCCTCAGGCCAGCCTGTGCCCACCATCATCAAGTCCGCTGTGGGCTCCTCAGGTGCCGCTATTGCACTGCTGATCCCTCTCATGGTGCTCGCTATCCTTTGCGGTGTCGCCTGCACCACGGCCGCCTCGCGCTGCACCTGGGCGTTTGCTCGTGATGGCGCCATCCCAGGCTCCAAGTGGTGGAAACAGGTGCACTCGAGCCTGGACCTACCCTTCAACGCTATGATGCTCTCTATGGTCATCCAGATCGCGCTGGGTGCCATCTACTTTGGCTCCTCCACAGCGTTCAATGCCTTCTCGGGTGTTGGTGTCATATCCCTCACCGTGTCGTATGCCGTTCCCATTGCCGTCTCCATGCTGGAGGGACGCGCTCACGTTCGGGGAGCCAAATTCTCCCTGGGTAGGATTGGCTGGTTTTGCAACATTATCGCCATTGGTACGTATACCATATTGCGTTATTCGTTCCTCCATCAACCCTTTTTGCTAACGGGATTTTAGCCTGGTCGATCCTCGCCGTCCCCCTATTCTGCATGCCAGCTTACCTACCTGTCACTGCTTCCAGCGTTAACTACGCCCCCGTCGTTTTTGTGGGCTTCGTTGTTATTGCACTTGCGTGGTACGCCGCCTGGGGCCGCAAGAACTACCGCGGCCCGCCGACAGAGAGCCTCGGCGAAGATCTCGTGCAGGAGGATCATGCTGCTAGCGGTTCTAAAAAAGACTAGTAGGGGCTGCTTCATTGGATCGAATTTAATTTCCATATATTATATTTCAACGTATGATAATTCGCGAGGTGTTTGGCGTCGCATGTCGAAGGGGTCCGTTCAACATGCTATGGACCTATATCTGAGTAGATACCCCCCTACCCCCTATTGCTACGCCTTGCAGCCCAATGGCGACTGCGTGACGCGGCATCTCGCCGACAAGCATGCCATCCCAAAGCGGTCGCGCGACGGCCTCCACCTCTTGGTTCGCGCCCTATGTCTTCCGGATCCCAACACCCTACCTCTCCGCCCCGATTGGTCGCCGGCCCATCCGCAGCTGGCCATTCGTACCGGCGTCGCCTGCCGGCACTGCGCCTACCGGACGACCAGCGTCGACCTCATCACGCGGCACCTAGCGAAAGCCCACAATCGCCGCCGCACCCAGGGGCATAGGGGCTGGCTGCGCAACGAGGTCTTCGAGGAAGTTGCCCTGCAGAGTTGGACCCAGAACGGCGCCCGCGGGTACTGGATCGCTACGCAGGACCCATCCCCGGCCGAGCGACCAGAAGACGCTTCCTCCCGGTTGCGGAACCAGGCCACAACCGAGCAGAGGGCTGCCCTTGACGTGCTGCATCAAGCCGAGCCGGAACACCTGGCCAGCCGTTCAGCTACCGCTCGCCAGACAGACGGCACGAGCCCACCTGATCTAGCCCTACAGACGAACTGGATGCGGCGGACTGGCTGGTTAGAGACCTTCCACGGGGCGAGGCGCGACGTTCTCGCCAGGCTCGCCCTGCCACCGTGCCAAGAAGGGGACGGCCTGCGACTTAGCGCGCCTGGAGACGAAACAACGATCCGGAGCACCCGCGAGGACGAAGATCGGTTAGGCCGCGTTGCGTCGGCGTTGCGCGGGCTTCAGAGCCGCTGTGAGGACACGGCGCGACACACCGACGTTTCGATCCGGCTGTGGCTTCGGAGCACCGACCCGGTGCGTCCGCACAGGGCCCCCTTTAACCTAGTAGGCCGCCAGTCCACGGCCCAATCGTACTGGAGGCTCTTTCTCAGGTTCTTGTGCTTCTCGTTCCGCCTCTGGCGTCTGCCAGAGGCTGCCCGGGCTTCTCTATGCCGGAGGTTTTTGACGCAGACCCAGAGTAACGCCTTGGAAGCGGCTTGGTCCGCGCTCGGCGAACCACGGACCCAGGGCCGGCGGCGCGTGGACCGCGCAACTAGAGGAGCAGCCCAGCCGAGCGCGCCGGGGTCCGGCGGCGGGAGCGAGGATGAGTGCTACGACAATGCCCACGATTCTGGGACAGAGACCGTGGACGCTACCGCCTTCTCATGGCCATCTCGCACGCGGCAGACGAGGCGAGCTGCTGCTGATCACGACGACGTAAGCGCATTCAAGGACAAGGACGATGGCGAGGGCGAGGACGACACGACCAGCCAGGACGACTCTAGCGTAGACGGCGGAGAGAGCGAGGATACCGAGTCTAGCTCAGAAGATGGGGATGACGCTGGATCCGATCCGTACTACCAGGACGCCCTGCTACAGCTCGCTAGGCTTCTGCTGACCGAGCCATTCCGTGGCGGCCAAGCACGCTCTACCCTCCTCGTCTACTTCAGCGGCGTCGCGGGCCTCGGCGCAGACGGGTCTTCGTTCGAGAGACCCTCGCGGTACACATCCAAGCTTTCCGCCCTGATCTATTGCGCGCGCCTCCTCCTTTTAGAGACCGTCCTCCCGCGCTTTCCCCACCACCACATCCGGATAGCAGCCCGGCCGCACCGGAATCAGGTCGAGCGCCTGAATAAAGTCCGGGTGCCAGCATTCTGCCTGGGTTCCCAGGCCCCCGTCGGCGAGCTGCTCGGTCTTCGGAACTATGGACGCAAGCTGGCACGGTCGGATGGACCCGTCTTCCGTGTCCGATGGAGCGAGGACGACCAGGTCTTGTCGTGGGACGAGGGCCGTATCTCGATGCAGCAGTTTCGGGCTCTCTCGCACGGCTTGCTCCGGTCCGTCGCGTCGTCGACGAGGCGCCTGATGTACGACTTGCAGCCGCAGGTCGATCTCCACGCCCTCCGGGACAAGATGTCAGATGTGGGAAAAGGCTACTCGTTCGTGACCGAGCCGACGAACCACCTGGTCGATGCCTTCTTAGCCTTGTCGGAGCGTGCCTGCCTCTCCCCCGTGAATGGTCTGATCGGTAGGAACGGATGGGACCAGCAGGCCGTCCGTCGCTATATCGAGCTGCACGACCAAGCGCTGGTGGAGCTCATGGCACTGATCCACCTCACCGGCGAGGCAGGCTGCTCGGAGCGACGGAGCTGATGTGCCTAGAACATTGCAACGGCCCTTCGACAAGCCAGAGCATATACGTCTACGACGGCTCCTTCTTCCTCGTAACCAAGCATACCAAGGCCCGTTCGGTTACCAACCAAGAGTTCCAAGTCGCCCGCATGCTGCCGGACGAAATCGGCCGCCTCCTCTACCAGTACCTTGTGTATATCCGGCCGTTCACATACATGCTGCAACGGCGTTGCTACGGAATCGACGTCGAGTCTCCGTTGCTGTTCTGCTCCCCACAGAGACCCGACAGGCTGTGGAAGACACACGTCCTTTCAGGGGCGCTGCGGCGGCTCACCGAATCGACCGTCGGCCGAGCGTTTGGCACACATGTATATCGGCAGCTCTCCATTGCCGTTACCGAGAAGCACGTTCGGCAAATCAGGAATCCGTTTGACCGCCACAATGATCGAACGGGCAACACTGACAGTAGCGTAGCGTTCGCCTGGCAGAGCGGACATCGGCCCTGGCAGAGAGCCTGCATGTACGGGCCTGGACGGGGCCTTCCCCGACAGCCTCCAACCCGCCCTTCTGCAGCTTTACAAGTGGGTATCTTTGGAATGGCACCGAGTTCCTACAGCTCAGGGCAGCCGGATCCGGCGCGCCAAATCCCCGGAATGGCGGCGCAGCCTCCTCGAGTTTCTCTACTGCCGAACGACTGCCCGCTTGACATCCGTGAGCCGGCGTCCTCCGCGCCGCTTGTTCGGACCGTACAGCCTCGAACAGCTCCGAATGGCCCGCAGCCAGATCGTACCCTACCTGGCCATCGATCCGACCAAGCTGGCGAGGAAGGGCCTGATGCGTTTCCCGTCTACAGACCGCCGAAGAGGCGGCGTTTAGAAGAAGGAGAAAAGCCTCTAAGGCCTCTAGCCCCCAGGGCCGAGAGTGCCCCCAATTGTACGGTCCCCGACGATCCTAGCGTACAGTCGGCTGGCTACACACAGGCCTTACAATCCCGCTCAACATCACCCAGGAATGTGTCTCCAACAAGTATAGGAACGGGGACGGAGACGGGAACAGGGACGGGAACGGAGACAGAAATGCGAATGGGGATAGAAATGCGGATGGAGACAGAAACGCGGACGGTAACACATATCGTGCAGGACGGGGCCAGGGTCGTGGGCATCGTTCGGCCACCTATTCTAGCCCCTATACGAGAGAAGGGCTTACGTATAGTGCTGTTCGATGAATTCTTCAAACGATTTCCTGCATTCCGGATAGCGGTTTGCCGCGAGCACTGTGGTGCGGTTACGGCGAAGTCGGTTGCGTCACATGTCGATTCGTACCACTCCCATCTAGCTCCAGGGGATCGGCGGCGCATCGTGGAGGAGGGGTTGGCGCTGCAAGATGACGGCTTGCTAGCCGCTAACATAGACGGCATCCGGTTCCCCAGCGAGGTGATACCGGCAATCGACGGATTGCCCATGTGGAGCGACGGCAAGAAGTGCATACAGTGTGGGCATATCCGGCGTACGAGGCAAGACATCCAGAGGCATTGCCAGTCAGCGCATGGTTGGATCAACCCGAGAGGGCGTGGTAGGAAGCTTGGGGCAGGGCCGGTAGGTGGGTTAGGCGAGGTGTGGGTGGACGGTATCCATTGCCAGCGATTCGGCCGGACGGGCGCGCTGCAGCGGTTGTTCGAGGTGGTGCCACCGGCGTCAGCAGGGGCGGTCGATTCTATGCAAGGTCGAGCCCGGGGCAAGGACTGGTCGATGAGTACCCGAAAGGCCAAGGGGCAGCGGAGAAGAAATAATTAAGAGTAAATTAAAGAGAATGGACTAGCCAGCCAGCCCAACTCATTCCATTCCCATCCGGTCAAGATAGCAGACTCAGAGAAACCGAGAAACGAGACGCGACAATCAACCACTGCCAATAAGGAACCCCCACCATGGCATCGTTCGACGAGTTGTTCATACCGATGCCCGTGTTCCAGGTCGCGATTTGCCGTGAGCATCGGAACGTAGTAACAGCCAAGTCCATCGTCGCGCACGTCAATTCGTACCACCGCCACTGTCTCGTACGGGACGACAGCAACGCTGCGCCGCCATTGAAGGCCAATGAGATTTGTGTGGCCGCGGTGGGGCCGGCGCTCGGGCCATACGTTCTGATGCGATTGGGGAGCTGAGCGGGCAATGGCGTCGCCCAAAATCGCTATCAAAATCGGAAAATAGCAGCTTGATCGGTAGAGTCGAGCGTGCTGGTGCTATATTGACGATTTGCTGGTCGTGAAACCGCGTATGTAGCCCGATGCGGGCGGCAACATCATTTTGGGAGTGCGAGTTGTGGTTACGGCTGGGGGTTAGGGTTATAGTGATTCCAACCAGTCGAGTGGGTGGGTTCGGGTATCATTCGGGTTAGTGTCTTTTCGAAATGTAGTAACAGGGGGTAGTTAATGGGAGCGAGAGGATGGGGTTTAGTGGGCCAGGGGAAAAGGCCAGGGGTAGCAAGGAAGAAGCAATCAGAAGCAAATTAGGTTATTTGGGACAGTTTGTTCGGCCGTTCAACCAAGGTATGGCCGTAGCAGAACCGGGAAGGCTAGAACATATAGCAAGATAGGAAAGAAGAGAGCAGAGAGCGAAAAAGGGAAAAGCAGGCGATAAACCATGGCAACGTTCAGTGAGCTATTCACGCCATTGCCCGCATTCCGCACGGCCGTTTGCCACGAGCATGGAATTGTGGTGACGGCGCGGTCGGTTGCGTCGCATGTCAATTCGCGGCACCGCCATTTGGCCGCCCGGGTTCGCCAGCGGATCATGGCCGAGGCGTTAGCGTTACGGGACGACGGTTCGTTGGCCGCCGATACGAACAATATCCGATTCCCCGACGAGGTGATCCCGGCGATCGACGGGTTACCCGTGTGGAGCGACGGCAAGAAGTGTATCGAGTGCGGGTGACGGCAAGAAGTGTATCGAGTGCGGGTATATACAGCGTGGGAGGAAGCATATCCAGAAGCATTGCCGGTCGGAGCATGGTTGGACCAACCCGCGGAAACGCGGCGGCAAGCCCGGGGCCCAGCAGGCAGGCGGGTTAGGCGAGGTATGGGTGGATGGGGTGCATTGCCAGCGGTTCGGGCAGGCCGGTGTATGCAG